AGTTCGGTCCGTAGGGGTTCTTCGACGGAAGCACCAATCTGGAGTGTGCGAGCTGGGTCCGTGGGCGAAGTCGGGATTGCGACTGTTTCTTCTGTGGGCAAAGCTCGTTCCTCGCCTTGCTCCGCAGGCCGCTCCAGATCGAGGTCGTCGGCTGCCTTGGTTTTTCCCTTCACGGCGGCAACATAGCACTTGCGGGACTCGAGCTGGTCGCCCCGCGCTACCCCCACACCGAAGTCCGTAGGGAACTTCATGGCCAAATAGTAGGTGGAGACCACCGCCCGTAGGATATGCGTGATCAGCCGCCCTATTATGGCATTGTATGGGGAGGGGGTCGCAACCACCAGGAAGTCATGGTTGAGTCTGACCGCACAAGGCCATGTGCCGACTTCCACAGGTACTGTTATTTTTCCAAGGGGTCTGACTTCCTCTCCGCTGAAACCCACCAGGGGAGTGTTTGCAGGCTTTAGTTCGCTCCTCCGTAGCTGTAGCTGGTCAAATGCTGATTTGAAGAGGATGTCCACCGAGCTGCCCGAATCTACGAGTACGCGTCTAACCTCGAAGTAGCTGATCCTTAGTTTAATGACAAGCGCGCCATCGTGGGGGTAGCAGACTCCTCGTGCGTCGTCCTCTGTGAAGAAGATTGGTTCTTCGGTATTTGGTCTCTTGGGAGGGTTCCGCTCCTCGAGGGCCGCTTCGCGAACTGAAGGCCGGGCTGCTGCCGAGGTACACCCTGCTACCACCGAACCTCCCACAATTACATGGATGGTTCCCCRAACTGGCCTCTCCACCGGAGGCTGTCGCTGCAATGGTTCGACAGGCCTGCTGCTAGATTCGGGGGCATCCTTTTCGTGTTCCCTTAGCCGATCTGCCTTATTGTTGTGCTATACAAAGTTTCTCAAGTATCCGCGACGGATGAGCCCCTCTATCTCGTCCCGGAGATTATTGCATTGCTCGGTACTGTGACCATGGTCTCTATGGAAACTACAATACAAATTCTTATTTCTTTCGTTCGAATTTCCCTTTAGGCGGGGTGGCCACTTCACTTATGGGGCGTCCTTGATCGTCATTAAGATCTCGGTCCGCCT